CGGGGTCAGGCCCCCCGCCCCGGACGCGGGGCTTGCGGCCTCGGCGCGAGGGCACCCCGTTGCAGCCGTCCTTCTTGAGGTGTCTGTGCAGGTGGTCCGAGCGCACGAAGGTCTTGCAGCAGCTGTCGCACTGGTAGGGGCGCAGGCCCGTGTGCACGCGCATGTGGTTCTTCAGGTCGTAGTTGTGCGCGAAGGCCGCCCCGCACTGCTGGCACAGGTACGGCTTCTCGCCCGTGTGCTTCCGCATGTGCACCTTGAGCTTGTCCTGCCTGCAGGGGGCGGGGCGGGGCGGGGGCGGAGTCAGCGGGCGGCGCTGGCCCCGCCCCCGGGGAGGGCAAACCGCAGAAGCCCCACCCCCACCCCGAGAAAGGAGGCCCCTGCAGGTGCCGCGCCCACGGGCAGGCTCCCTTGGCAGTGCAGACCCACCCGGTGCCTCTCGGAAGAAAGGCCTGGCGATCTATCTGTACCTGTCTAACTGGGGGCAACCCTATAGAGGCACTATATGGCTGGTTACCCATTGGGCTGCGCATTGCAAGGTCGGCAGTTTGAAACCACCAGTGCCTCTGTGGGAGCGAGAGGCAGCCTGGTACTCCAGGAAAGCGCTAGCGTCTCAGAAATGCGCAGGGACGGTTCTACCCTGTCCTATTGGGCCACTCTGAACCGGCATCCAGTTGATGGTAGTTTGTTCTTTTGTGGGGGGCGGTTTATACAGACGCCGTGCAGGTAAGCACGGGGCTGCTGAAAGACGGGCCGGCTGCTCCCAGAATGCCCGCCAGCCCTGGGAGGATAGAGTCACTCCGAGTTGGAATTGGCAGAGGGCTTGGTAATCTCTGTGGGTGCACATCACCGCGTTCTTCCGAGGCGCGCCAGAGGAGGCTGGCACTGGTGGGCTGCAAGAGGCCTTGGTGTCCACGTGGGTTAGGCATGGGGCTACTGCTAATGCAAGGCTGGCAGTTCAGACCCACCGGAAAGCCGGCGGGAGAAAGACGAGGCTCGTCTGCTCCCGGAGAGACTGAGCCTCAAAACCCACGGGGAGTGGTTCTACTCCGCCCTGCCGGGCTGAGAGCATGGGAAAGGCGCGCACTGGAGTGGGTCCGGTTTTTCTGATCCGGTCATCTCCAGGAGGGCCTCTCTTTTGAGGTGCCCGTGGGTGGGTTGGCTCATAGACAAGGGTTAAACTGAGCCACGCAGGGGCTCCTGGGGGGTGGGCGGGGTGGGGGGTGCTGTGAGTTTCCCAGGAGTGGGGTCTAGCATTCCTGTCAGATGGTTTCAGGCGAAGGGGGCCTAGTCAGGGCAGTTTAATGTTCTGCAGGCAGCAGCGAGGGCCTGAGAGAAGCCTTACCAGGGCTGTGACCCCGCCTCCCGTCCCATGTGGCCTTGGGCAAATGGCTGAGCCTGTCTTGGTGGCCGTGAGTCTGAAACTGCTGCACTGCTGCACCGGGCTGACCTTTGGGTGGAGGTCGCTGGCCCTCTCCTTTGCAATACCTCTAGGTGGACCCAAACCACTCGCCTGCCAGTGAGCCGCTGAGTGCTTCACTGCCTGTGCCCCCCAAGGACCCCCGAACCCAGTGAAGAGCAGGTCTCCCACTGGCACCTAGCTTCTGCAGAGTGGGGTGTCAGCTCTGAGTATTCACCCAATGCCAGCTGAGTCCTAGGGCCCTGCTTCAAGTGCTGAAAATGCCGAAGGGAACAAGCTAAGCCCTTCCTTGCTGCCCTGTCCCTATTGGTGATCCACAGACTGACCAACTACACACCGACTGACCGCTGGTCCCCACATGCTCAGAACTTCCTCATCTTAGCCCTGAAAGTCCCTGGTCCCGGGAAACCCCTCAGCTCGGGTCAAATGGAGGCAGTGGTGTCTCCCTAGAAATGGAGGCACCACCCCACCCCAAAGCCCTCAACTGTCCCCTGGGCCAGTTTCTCTCCTTCCTTCATTTCCCTCCACAGCCCAAGCTTCCTGCCTGCCGGCACAATGTGCCAGGCACATGTCTGCCCCCTCCCCCCACCCCCTGTGCCTTTGCACAAGGGGTCCCGGCTGCCGGGGAGCCAGCACATTCTCCTTTGGGAGCGTGGAGAGCCAATCTCAGCGTGAACATCACCACTTAGCAAGCCCCAGAGAATATCAAATGGCCCGTGCGTGCTGCATACTGGCCACAGGCTCATGTGATAATCATTTGGATCTATAGGGTCATGTAGAAATACATGGTTCAAATCAGTTTCACCTGCTGCTGGCCTCTTTCTTTCCATGGAGTCACCAGAATATTTAAAGTTATGGTATATGGCCCGCCTGGCATCTCTGTGGCAAAGTGCCAGCCTATACCCAAGAGGGTAGATTCCTGTCTGGAACCCCCAGGGCAAAGGTAAGGGTCAGGGTCTCTGACGGCCAGGATCCAGTCAGCTCCTAGCTGCTGTCTCTTATGCTCTGGGTCTCTTCCTTCTCAGGCACACCAGACTGTGAGCAATCTTCAAGGCTTGCACTAAGGCACTCCTACTCACCCTTCAAAACCCTACCGCAAATGCCCTTCTTCCTCTAGGAAGTATTTTCTAAACCCCAAACACTGACACACCCCTAATCATCCTTCAAAATCCTACCAGAAATGCCCTTCCTCCTCCAGGAACTCTTCTAAACCTCAAACAATGATGAACGTCTACTCTTCTTCAGAGACCTACATCACACACCCCAGAGACCTAGCGCTCTTCTGAGCTACTCTAATTCCAGGTCACGCCCCTCCGTGACAAGCCTGACCAAAGGAAACTCAGCCCGTGTCCCTCTTGGCTCTAAGCTGTCTGTGGCCAGGCAGCTGTGCCTAACTACAGAGCCACTTGGTCACCAGAACTCAGGCTGAAGCAAGCTCCTTCCTGGCTGCCTGGCCCGCCCAGGTCTGTTATCCGTCGTGGGCCTTCGGCTTCACAAGTAGCCAGGACCTTTCTGCCACAAAGCCTTCTCCTGTTTCCAAGTGTCCTGTCCAGCCCCTGCCTGGGAAATAGGGAACTCGGTCTTTGCTGGCCTAGTAGGGAGAAGTCCCCAGCCAAGCACCTCAAGCCTCAGAGTGGGGGTCTGGCTTGCAGGGAGGTACGCAATGGGCTGGGGGGCTGAGTTGGGGCGGGCTGGGGGAGGAAGCAGCCTGGCTTCATCACCGGGAGCCCTGGCGGGGTAATTATAGCCCTGGTGGCCACAGGCCGCACTTACTCAACACTCGGTGACTCAGAGGGGCCTTGGGGCTCCAGGGCCTGCAGGGAGGGTGGGGGCTGGGGCCCTGGGTGCAAGACCCAGAGAGCCAAGTAGGTGGGTGGGAAAAAGGCCAGGTTATGTGGCCCCCTCTGGGCCTCAGTTTCCCTGATTGTTAAACAGCCTGTTCCAGAGTGAGGTTGGGGGCTGTGGAAGGAGGCTGCTGGGCCAGGGCCGGGCCAGGCTCTGCTTTCAAGCTGGTCCCATTTCCGACCTTTGTTCCAGTCTACTCACATCTGAAGACCCTCGACCACCTGTCCTGGTCTAGCCCCAGAGACCCCCAAGTTCACCATCACTGATTTCGGGAACTTGACTGGCTGCCAACTTGCACGCCCTTTGACCCTGCCCAGTACTCCTGGGCCAGGGATTCCGGGCCACGCCCTCTCCTGGCCTGCCTGGGCAGGGGGTCAGGGGGTGCTGGAGTGTCGATTGGCCCCCAGTTCACTTCTCTGTGGGGTGGGGCCGGGAGGCTGGGACAATGGCCTCTTTCTTCAGCCTGAGTGGGTGTGGCTAGGGGATCCCCATGGCGGGTGGGGGGGGGGGCAGGGTGATGCTGAGTCACCCAGCCTGGCCAGGCCCCTGGGTGCCAGCCCCCAGCCCCCACTGGGCTGGCCCGCCCTAGGTCCACATGGCCTAACCAGCCACCTCTGAACTCGACCTTCCAAACAGCCCTCACCTGACCTGGGCCTCCCTGGCCCAGCTAGCCCATGGCGCCACTCGCCCCCAGTCAACTCTGCCACCGGGCCTTTGCATGGGCTGGTGCCTCTTCCGGGAACACCCTTCCCTGCACATGTCTCCACAGCTCCCCCTCTTTCCTGCTCAGTGCTCAACCATCAACCCCTCAGGGCCGCACCCTGGCTGGGCTCCTGCTCACCTTCTCGCCTGAGAAATGTGCACAACACACCTACTCTAGGTCCTTGTGGCATCGTGGTTACGTGTTGGGCTGCTAACCACAAGGTCCAAAGTTCAAAACCACCAGCTGCTGATTCCTCAGGAGAAAGACTGGGCTTTCTAGTCCCGTAAAGAGTTACAGTCTTAGAAAACCCACACGGACAGTTCTACTCTGTCCTTCAGGGGCACTATGAGTCAGCATCGATGGCAGTGAGCTTGCTCTGAGGTGTAGGTCCCTTGGGATGGTCCACCACCCAGATCTTGGAGCAACAGCCCGGCCTGGGTGGACTCCTGCCGCATGTCCAGCACCTACAACAGGTCTGGACACACAGTGGGCACTCAGGAAACACTGGAAGATGACAACATGTTTGAGGCTGGACCTTCTAAGACAGCCTCATCTTTCCTCTGCAGAGCAGCTGTTGGGTTTGAACTGCCGACCTTGTGCCTTAGCAGCTCAACGTTCAACCAGTAGAGCTTCCTTAGCAGGCTCAGGCCATCGAGTGAGCCCGGACTCACGGCAACCCCTGGTGTGCATTGACAGCCTGGTTTTGCTTCTGGGGTTTTCAGTGGCAAGTGGCCAGGCCTTTCTTCCGAGGGGCCTTGGAGGTTGGCCTGAATCTCCAAACTCTCAGTTGGGGTGTTCAGCATCAGTAGTACCCAAAGCTTCCAGTCCACACCAAGTCCATGACAACTGGCCTGGGCCATGCTTTGGACATACATGGGCACCCCGCCCTCACCAGAATGTCACCAGGGTCGCAGTCTGTCTAGATCTTTCTCCAGGGGTGCCTGGGAGGAGCCCAGAAATAGAGGAGACATGCTTCTAGGTCAGCTTTAGGTTTGGGCCGAGGGTCCAGTAAGCTGGGTCACGCTGACCCCATCCACCTCATATTGGCCCTACCCGCAAACCCCGACCCACTCTTGACTTAAAATGCTTAAAAAGTAAAAGATGTCACTTGGAGGACTGAGGTGTGCCTGACCCAAGCAAGCTATGGCATTTCCCATCGCCGCCTCTGCGTGTGACAGCCAGGCAGTGAACAAAAAAGAGCAACAAGAACTGACGCCTCCGAATGACTTTGTGCAGAAGAACAGGCTGATCTCTCTCGGGAGGAGAAGTACAGCCAGAATGCTCCTTAGAGGCAAGGGTGGCCAGGCTGCGTCCCACATGCTCTGGACGTACTATCGGGGGACCATTGTCGCTGGAGCAGGACATGTGCTTAGTTAAAGCTACCCCGCCAGTCAACCCAAACTCTCAACTGCCACCGAGTCGATTCGGAACCTTTGCGACCCTACAGGGCAGAATAGAACTGCCCCTGCGGGTCTCCGAGGCTGTCAGTCTTCAGCAGGGGGCAGACGGCCTCCTCGTTCTCCTGTGGGGCGACTGGCAGAGGGTGAGCTGCTGGCCTGTGGTTGGCAGCCCAGCGCTACATCCACCACCAGGGCTCCACGTGAAATACAGGGTCAGCCAGCAGAGATGAAGTGCCACAGTGGTCGCCAATAGAACCGTATTTGTGAGGATGGCGCACCAGGTGGCCAGCCTGGTGCTATTCCGTTTCTGCTTTCCTACCCAGACGGGGTTGCTCTGACTGGCTTGGTGTGGCTGGCGCGGGCGAACTACACTTCCCAGGATGCCTCTCTCCTTGTGGCCCACTCCTTCTGTTGTGCGTGGGGTCCAGTCGGAATGGATTCCAAGGTACCTGACTGCAGACCTCTCCCATTGGCCCCTCCCCTCCCCCAAGCCCCTCCCCTTCCGGCCGCCGCCCCTTCCGGCGCTGGGCTCACCTAGTGAAGCGGACCTTGCAGATGTTGCACTCATAGGGCTTCTCGCCCGTGTGCGTCCGGATGTGTCGGGGCAGCTTGCCGGCGCCCTGGATGACCTTCTCACAGATGGGGCACTTCTGGAAGGCCTTGGCCCGGATCTTCTTCTCCACTTTCTGGGACCAGGCCGGGTACGCGTCGCCGTCGTGGGTGGCGCTGAAGTACTTCAGGTAGTAATCCATGACGGCCTTGTCTTCCGCCCGCGACTCCTCGTCGCTGTCCCCTGCCGCCGCCGCCGCCCCGGCCCGGCCCACGGACGACATCATCTGCTGCAGCAGCGTGCTGGCCGCCAGCCCGTCCCCGTCAGGCCCGTCCCCGTCCCCGTCCTCGGCCGTGCCGGACAGGAAACCCGGGGAGTCGCTGGGCTCTGGGGCCGCCTCCGACAGCGAGGCCGCCTCCTCCTCCCCAGCTCGGCCGTAGTGGCCGTTCTGCGTGGCGCCCGGGGGCGGCGGAAACAGGCCCCCGGCTGCGTCCTCGTCCCGCTCCGGCCACAGGCCTGGGTTGCTGTCGCCCTCGTCGCCCTCCCCCGCCGGGGGCCGCTCCCCCGGGGGGCCTGGGCCGTAGAAGTCCAAGCCGTTGCAGTCGCCGGCGGCCACCGCGGCGGCCACTGCGGCCACGGCCTCCTTGGTGGCGTCCAGGTCATCGTCGGAGGCACCGAAGGCCGACCAGGGAAAGGGGCCAGCGGGGGGCAGGCTGTTGATGGGGTTGCTCTGGAAGAACTCGAGGTACTCTTTGGCACGCAGCAGGTTGCGCTGGTCGATCTGATCCACGAGGTCCAGCTGCCCGGCGTCGGTGCCGGCGTCGGTGGCCAGGATCTGCCGATCCAGCAGGTCGGCGCAGACGTGGCTGACGGCGGGGATCTCCAGCAGGCGGGCGGCGCTCAGGATGTCGCCCACATTGGCTGTGCTGACGGTGAGGGTGGCCGTGTAGGCGAAGTCCACCAGGGCGGTGAGCGCCTCGGCGCTGACGAAGTCGATCTCGTACACGTTCTGCTGGTCCACCACGGCGCCCGACGTGAACAGCTTCTTGAAGTACTGGCTGCAGGCGGCCAGCACCGAGCGGTGCGTGGGGAACTCACGGCCCTCCACCAGGATCACCACGTCGCACAGCAGGCCCTGCGTCCGCTGCTCGTTCAGCCCGCTCAAGATGTCGCTGCTGTGGTCGGGGAACGGGATCCCGATGGGGCCGTCCACGCCGCCGGCCATCTTCCGCGCCGAGACCTGCCACATAGGGGAGGGGCGAGGGAGCCGTGGTGAGGAAGAGGGCTGGAACGCACATAGGGCCCCGCCCCTGTGGCCCCAGGGGTCTGTGGCCATTTGTCAAATGCCACCAAAGCAAACCCGTGGCCACGGAAATGAGTCCCACTCCTAACGACCCTGTAAGGCAGGCTAGAAGTGTCCCTGTGAGTTTTTGAGGCTGTGATCCTGTTGGGGGTAGACAGCCTCATCTTTCTCCCACAGAGGGGCTGGTGGGTTCCAACCGCTGACCTTGAAGTGAGCAATCCAACCGGAGACCCACCACACCACCAGGTCAGCCCACAGTAGGGGCTTAAAGAGCGCGGCACCATCGTTGCCACTAGAGGGCCCTGGAGGAACACCCACCAAAGGGGGCCTTGGGGGGACCCCTAAGCACACCTGAGGAGCTAGGCAGGGCCTTGGCTGGCTGTTTCTGTTGCTCTTGAGAGCCACCGGAGTCCTGTACACAGCACAGCTCTCATCCGGGGGAGAGAAGGAAGCTTGGGAGGGCTTGCCTGGCCCTGGCTCCACCTTGAGGACACTGGGGCTTTGGACCCTCAAGCCTGGCCGTCCAGCAGGGGTCCAAGTCAGCAGCAAGGGGTGAGGCCGGGTGACTTTGCCAGACCCCACTGCTTCCCCCCTCCCCACACACAGGATGAGGCTCAGCCCTGTGAGAAAAATTGAGGACCCAGGTCGCTGCCTGCCCAGCTGTGGCCCCTAAAGTGGAGCCTACCACCTGCCTTCCCAGAGATCCTCCCCCAACCCTCAGCACCTCCACCAGGCTGTGCAGCTCAGCCTGGCCAGGCCCTGGTGCTCCCTGGGACTCGGGCTCTCCATCTGTCTAATGGGTAGGGAGCTTTGAGAGGGCTGTACCCCGGGGGCCTGTCTGACTGACCTGTCCCCTCTCCCCCTCCCTCCTTTTTCCGCCTTCTCCCTGTGACTCATCCACCCACTCTGAGCTTGTGTAACCCTCTGGCTGCTGTCCCCACCCCTCCACCCTCCCCAGGGAGCCCCTGGAGGCCCCCAGCCACCCTGAACAGCACATTCTTTTGGGCTGGCTTCGGCGCTCGAGCTGGAGGAGCCTCTGGACCTGGTCTCCAAGGACAGGCCCAAGCCAGTCCAGCCTCCAACTGTGGAGGCCGAAAGCCCCTCCCACCTGGCCTGGCTCGGACCAGGTCTTCCTGCTCTGCAGAGGACGCAGGTGGCCAGCCTGGTGCTATTCCATTTCTGCTTTCCTACCCAGACCTGGTTGCTCTGACTGGCTTGGTGTGGCTGGGGCGGGCGAACTACACTTCCCAGGATGCCTCTCTCCTTGTGGCCCATGCCTACCCACCCTGGATCCTATCTGGGCCCAGCTGCTCTGCCCCTGCCCCCCAGTCAGCCTGTGTGTATTTGTAGAGGGTGTGTGTGTGTGTGCTCTGTAGTGGCTGCAGGAGCAAGGAGGATGGGGTGAGCCCCCTTTGGCGGCTGCCACCATCTGCCGTCTGGCCCTGGGCTGCAGGATCAGACGGCCTCTCGGGGAAGGAGGGGGCCTTTGACCCAGGCCACCCTGGCCTTGCCAGGCAGTTGCAAGCAAGTTAAGGTGTTGCCTGGCCTCAGGTGGGCCTGTCACATCCCTTGGGCCCTCTAGGTGGGGACCTGGCCAGTGCAGGTTATCCCAGTCTGTGTCCCACCCCTTCCTGGCTACATGTGGCAAGAAGCACCTTCCCACAAGGCCTAGGGTCATGAGACCTCTGGCAGGAGAAGGGGCAAGCCTGGACCTGGAACTGGGTGCCCTGTGCCTGGGTCCCCAGCAGCTGAGCCCCTGGGTCGCCTGGGTGTCCTGTGAAACCCTGCCTGCCGAGGGTGGGAGAGGGCTCCTATTTCATAGACAGGAGACCAAGCCTCAGAGAGGGCTGGCACCCCAGCCAAGGGTACGCACAGGTGCGAGTGGAGGAAGTCCCACCCCTCCCCTCAGAGTTCCCAGTTCACTGGAAACCCACTCCCCCTCGGCAGGGGAGGCCCCTAGCTGGCCCTGCACCAAGTAGGTGCTCAAGAAGTGACACTTTAGAGTTTAGTTCTTAATCCCAAAAACCATTCTCTCCTCTGGGTGTGGGGGGGATGCCCCTACCCAACAGCCTTCATCACAGCCCCGCCCCTGCCAACACCTCTGCAGGATTTCCGGGGTGCCTGGTGCTGACTCGGCCGCCTGTGAGGGGCAGGCCCTGGCAGGCCCCTCCTGGGCTGGAAGCTGGGTGCCCTCCCTGCCCTTCCCACAGAGGCACACAGTAGGGGCGCAGCAGATGAACAACCGGGTGGACCCGAAAACTAAAAGAACACCCTGCAGAGCCCACGCCCAGCCCCACCCACCTGGCTGCTGGGGCACACCCAGTGTCTGTGCGGTCCCACCTCAGATCTAACCTAGGGTCAACTTGCTGCTGCTGCTTTCCAAGGCAGCAGGACCCAGGGCTGATCTCAGTCCTCCCGGGTCCTCCCTGTCTTAGAACTTTCTGGAATGAAGGCAGGCTGTTCCCTGGGTTAAGAAGCTGCCCAGACCAGACATTCTCAGCTTAGCCACCCGACCCAACAGCTCTGGGAGGCTCAGAGAGGTAAAGGGGTCTGGCCAAGGTCACCCAGACCTGAGCTCCTGCCCCTCCTTGAGAGGGGGCACATGGGGGGACGTGGGTTGGGTAGACTTGGCACAGCAGGTGTCACCCAGGAGGTGGGAAATGGGGGAAGGCAGGGCAGGAACATACAGGAAGCCTGGGGCTCCCCAAGGTCACCTAAATGGGTGAGGGGTGAGGCCCAGCCTCCTGCCTCCCACACTCCCTGGGAAGAAGGGGGTAGGTAATTGCCACCAACACCTTCCAAGAGTCCTTGGGGCACAGCTTAATGAGGGGTTAATGGCCCCCAGCCCCCTCCCCCCACCAGTTAAATGGGTACACCTGGGAGTCATACTGTGTCCCATACTGGACTATCGGGTACAAAACTCACTCCTGGCCCAGGGCCAAGCAGCATGACCTTGGACCTCTCTGTGCCTCAGTTTCTCCAGGGGCAGGGATCGTACCCAGAGCCTCAGCCAAACTTGCCTGAAGCCCTACTGTGTACCAAGAAGCCACCCCGAAAGACACAAGGCTGTTCTTCCAGCTTCCTTCTGGAACTGTCACTCCAGAATTCAGGTCCCTCTTCATTTACTATGTGGCCAGGAAGTGGGCAGGTAGCCCTAAAAGTAAAGACTAGGCTCAGAGAGGGTGGGTGGTGGGCCCAGAGACACACAGCAAGTGGGGCACCCAGGTGTGGCTGACAGACCTGCGCCCGCTGGCCCCTGCCTGCTCCCAACCCTGGGACTGTGTCGCAAGGTCTGTACAGACTGGCTACCCCACCCTGACCTGGTGCCAATCCCTGCCTGGCCTGGGCTGGCTATAATGGGAAGGAATGTGGTGCCCATGGAAGGAGGGGTAGGGGCACTGTCTGCCTGCCTGCCCGCCCGCCCCGCTGGAGTGGCTGCCCCACTGCCTGCCCACCCCCTGTACGAGAGGGCCAGAGGGCCGCAGGGCCAGATACCAGCAAACAGGCCCTCGGCCATTTTCCCTGTCCATTTACTGCCCTAAATGGGGAGGGGCTTCCTGCCCAGGCCTTAAAGGGCCAGAGGAAGGCTGCCGCACAGCGGGAAGTGTGAGTGGGGAGGGTGAGGAGGCCCTGGGGACCCCATCTGATTCCCGGTTCATGGGTAAGGTCGGGGACCACCCTGTTCCCACGCTCAGGGTTCAGCCCCAGGGACCCAGGCTCGGAGGAAGCTGGGGCCGTCCCTGGTGGAAGTGAAGGGCTGAGCTTCTCATCACTGTGGGTGAAGCAAAGGTGGCTCTGCCCACGCCGCCCTTGGCTCTGCCTGCACCTGCTCATCCGAGATGCCTGGACACACACACACACACACACACACACACAACCACCCCCACCCGCACTCACACATGCCCAGTCCGAGCAGGTGGAGACTGCTGTAGTCTGGGAAGCCCCCATGGAGTCTGTGCCCACAGCACCAGGTCGGATGGGAGGTGGACCAGGCCTTGTTTTCCAGTCAAACCAGAAAGGCGTGGGTGGGGACGCTTCCATGGAGAGGCTGGCCTCAGCCTGCTGGGGGGACAGATGGAGGGGCTGTGTTTTGGCCGCCCTCCTCCCCAAAGTGTAGGCTTTTCTGCCAGAGGGCACCTTCTGCAACTAGAGCTGCGAACTTGGGACTGGGCTGAGGGTCTGGTCCTTGGCAGCTGGCAGTCCGTTTTAACAGGCTGGAAAGAGGCTCCGAGAGGGCAGAACCTTGCCTGTGGTCATAGTACTTGCTTCTTAGGGTGTCAACTTCCCTCCATCACCAGTTCTCCTGCAGGTATGTATCAGTGGGGCCCACCCCCCATCACTCTGACACACACACACTCACTCACTCAGGAGCTGCCTCCCTGAACAGAGAATCCCTCATCACTCTGAAACACACACGCACACGCACATGCACACGCACACGCACGCACAGGAGCTGCCTCCCTGAACAGAGAATCATGTCACCTGAGGAGCCTGGCGCGGACCCCAACCTGGAGATGGCAGTGCGATGCTGGGATGGGGAGTGAGCACCAACTAAATCTCTCCCATGACCCCTTTGGGCTCTGGTCATCTCCCCGACACACAGACGGGATCCTGAGGCTGGTGGAGGGGTAGTGGCCTCCATATGTGGCCTTCAGGTGCAGTAGAGGGCCAGGCAGGGATAGGGCCACCTTCACGCCCACCCCCCAAGCCTGTTCCTCGGGTCCCCGCTGTTGCCTAGGGTTGTCACTAGGCAGTTTATGGTCCGTCGAGTGCCTGGGGCCCCAGGTGACCGTAGAGTGGGGCCCAGAGTCTTGGTCACTTGGTGACCCCACCCTTAATTCCCATAATACCCAGAACAGAGCCAGGGGTTCCTGTTCTACAACAGGTAGACAACTAGAGCCCGTCTATGGGGGGGAGGGGTGATGTCAACAATCAAACCAATATACTGAGCATGTGTGTTTGTGTGTGTGTGTGTGTGTGAGAGAGAGTGAGAGAGCTAGCAGGAAGTAGCCCCTCTAAGTGGCTAATGTCAGTGTTCCCTTTGGCCACCAGGCGGTTGGGACTAAGTAGCCCTGGCTCTGAAACAATAGGGCCATAAACCCAGAACCCCGCCTGCCTCTGAGGGCCAAGGTGCGAGCTAGTAGCTCAGGAGGGGCACCCATAAACGACCCAGCCAGGTGGGGCTGAGAGCCATGAGCAAGGGGCGGGAGTGGGGGTGGGGGTGAGCCCGATGAGATGTGTGACCTCAGGGATCTTGCTCACCCTCTCTGAGCCCCAAAGAGGTTTGAGCCGGGCAGCTGCCAGCTGCTTGAGGTGTCTAGATGGCCGACCTCTGGCTGCATGGAAGACAGGTGGGCAGGTGCCCCCAGCTGTGTTCCAGGGAGGACCCTGGCCAGGAAGCAGGATCTCAGGAGACCAGCCCAGCTCCAGCTAGGTGACCTTGGCTTGCTCTCTGTCTCCCTTCTTGCCTCAGTGTTCCCCAACCAACTCACCACCTGCCCAAGAACCTGTCAAAAACCCCAGGTTTCCCCAGTCAGCTGCCCTTCTGGGCCTCAGTTTCCTATTTGGCTATAAGGACAATCAATGCCACCTGCTGGTTCTAATACCCAGAGAGAGAGACCTCAAGGAATGGGGGGGGTCGGACATCATCAAGAACCCCACCAGCACCACAGAATCTGCCCCTCTGGGCTGTGGCTGGGCTCTACCAGCTACAAGCCTCAGTTTCCCCCAACAGAAACAGGCCCCGAGGCACCATGTGTGGCTGCCGACAGGCTTCTTCGAAGCCAATCACAACTGAATAATAAATACGCCCCCCCCCCAAAGTGACCCATGAATTAAATTTTCAGTGTCCCCAATGGCTCCTCTTTCCTTCATTAGCCATGCAGAGCCCAGGGCTGGCTCCTGCTCCCCCCTCCCCCCGCTCTGTCGTCGCCACAGCAATGGCTGGTGGTAAACAGAGCCCCGGGCCCGGCATGCTCCAGGGCCCCCCCTGGGGAAAAGGCCCCTGCCTGGTGCCCTGGACAGCCCCACCGACCTAGGCCCTGACCCCTGCCCCAGTTACCAAGGAGGAATGTGGGACCTTGACTCAACCAGACCCCTCCCCTGGAGCGTGTGCCAATAGGAAGTGGTCGGACCGGGTGGGGAGCCCCCACTAAGTGGGATCGGTGCACTCGGGGTTACGCCCTGGCCCTGCTGGAGAAGGGGGTGGGGGTTACACGGAATCCCGGACGCAGAGGGCGTCCGGCTCCGGCTCCCGGAGGCAGCTGGCAGGGAGGGGGCAGTGGATGAGCCAGGTGGGCACCACCCGGGCAGGGGCACCAGCACCCCTCTCTCTCACTTCCGCCGGCTAGCTGGAAAGGGGGAGGGGGAGGAGAAGGGTGTCCTGCCTCTCTGCGGCGGCGCCACCAACTCCTGGCTGCATTCCCCACGCACTTAGTGGGCGCCCACTGTGTGCCCTAGCCTGGTTGGTCAGTACCCTCCTCTGCGGCCCACCGGGCTCCCCAGCAAGCCTGCCTGACTGCCAGCGCAGGCGCTATCTCCTGAGTCCCGCCAGAGCCCGTGGCCTGGGGTGCACCGACTGGGTCCCCGCGCAACTCAACCCATGTCAGCTCCTAGGCCCGGGACTGGGGGAGGGGGATGGATCCCACCAGCTCTCCCCCAGCTCCGCCCGAGCTCCGGATTCGCACGTGGTGGTGGCGTCAAGGGGGAAAGGGGGGCCCAGGTCCGAGAGCAGCAGTCACGCGCTTTGGGGGCGCGGGCGGGAGAGGTGGACCGGAAGGCTGCCGCACAGCGGGAAGTGTGAGTGGGGAGGGTGAGGAGGCCCTGGGGACCCCATCTGATTCCCGGTTCATGGGTAAGGTCGGGGACCACCCTGTTCCCACGCTCAGGGTTCAGCCCCAGGGACCCAGGCTCGGAGGAAGCTGGGGCCGTCCCTGGTGGAAGTGA